ATTTTTTTTAATAGATACAGGACTGTCCACATTATCTATTTATTTATTTTGTTGCAGTAAAATAAACATAACATAAAATTTACCATTTTAACGATTTTTAATGTACAATTCAGTGGCATTGAGTACATTCACATTGTTGTGCAGCCATCACCACTATCCATTTCCGGAACTTTTTCATCATCACAAACAGAAACTCTGAACCGATTAAACAGTAATTCCCCACTGCACTCACTCCTCAGCTCCTGGTAATTGTTATTCTACTTTCTGTCTCTATGAAATTTGCCTGTTCTAGGTACCTCATATAAGTGGAGTTATACAATATTTGTGTTTTTGTGGTTGGCTTATTTCACTTAATATAATATTTTCAAGGTACATCCATGTTGTAGCATATGTCAGAATTTCATTATGTTTTATGGCTGAATAATGTTTCATTGTGTGCATATATCACATTTTGTTTACCCGTTGATCCCTTGATGGACACTTGAGTTGCTTCTACCTTTTTGGCTATTGTGAATAATACTGCTATAAACTTTGGTATACAAGTATATGTTTGACTCTCCACTGTCAATTCTTTGGGGTACATACCTAGGAATGGAATTGTTGGATTATATTGTAATTCCATTTTTAGCTTTTTGAGGAAATGCCAAACTGTTTTTTATAGTAGCTGCACCACTTCACATTCCCATCAGCAATGCACAGTGGTTTCAGTTTCTCCATATTCTTGTCTGTACTTGTTACTTTTCTTTTTCTTTTCTTTTCTTTTTTTTTTTGATAACCATCCTAATGGGTGTGAAGTGGTTTTGATATGCATGTTTCTAATGACTAGTGATGTTGAGCATATTTCCATGTGTTTGTTGGCCATTTGAATATATTCTTTAGAGAACTATCTGTTCAAATCCTTTGTCCGTTTTTGAGGTAGATTTTTTGTTGTTGAGTTGTAGGAGTTCTTCATATACTCTGGATATTAGTCTCTTATCAGATGTATGATTTGCATATATTTTCTCCCATTCTGAGGGTTGTCTTCTCACTATCTTGGTATTATCCTTTGATGCACATAGTTTTTAATTTTGATGAAGTTCAGTTTATCTTTTTTTTTCTTTTATTGCCTGTGCATTTGGTGTTATATCCAAAACCTCATTGCTAAATCCCATGTTATGAAGATTTTTCCGTATGTTTTCTTCTAAGAGATTTAGCTCTTTGGTCCATTTTTTGTTAACTTGTTTATGGTGTAAAGTAAGGGTCCAACTTCATTCTTTTGCATGTGGATATCCAGCTTTCCTAGCACCATTTGTTGAAAAGACTGTCCCTTTATGCGTTGAATAGTCTTGGCTCCCTTGTCAGAAATCAATTGGCCATATATATGGGAAGGTTGATTTCTGGGCTGTCTGTTCTATTCCATTGGTTTATATGTGTATCCTTATGCCAGGACCATTTTGTTTTAATTATTGTAGCTTCATAATAAATTTGGAAGTTGGAAAGTATGAGTTCTCCAACTTCATTCTTCTTTTTCAAGATCATTTTGCAATAGGGTGCCTCTTGCAATTCTGACTTGAACTTTATTTTATTTCTTCTAACTTGCTTGGGATTTAAATTTCTGTTTTTCCCTATTGTCCTAATTTGGAAGCTCAGATCATTGATTTGAGACCTTTTTTTTTTTTCTATTATAGACTTTTTAGTGCTGTAAATTTCCCTGTAAGTATTGCTTTTAGTGACATCACACAAAATTTGATTATCGGCTTTTCCATTTCTGCAAAAAAGCTCTTGGAATTTTTATAGGTATTGTGTTGAATCTGTGGATTATATTGGGTGGTATCGTCATCTTAGCAATATTAAGCTTTCCAATTCATGAACGTGGAATGTCTTTCCACTAAATGTTTTCTTTGATCTTTAATTTCTTCAGCAATGTTTTGTAGTTTTCAGCTTATAGGTCTTTTACCTCCTTGGTTAAATTTATTCCTAAGTATTTTATGCTTTTTAATGTTATTGTAAATGGAATGTTTTTTAAAAATTTTCCTTTCTGGATTGTTCATTGCTATTGTATAGAAATGCAACTGATTTTTGCATGTTGATTTTGTATCTTGCAACTTTCCTTCCTTTTGGGTAGTTTCACATTCACTAATGTTATCTTCTGCAGTTTCTAATCTGCTTTTAATTCCATGCAGTGTATTTTTCATATCAGACATTGCCATTTCATCTTTAAAAGTTTGATTTGGGTCTTTTTGATATTACTTAACTTTTTGAACATGTGGTACACAGTTATAATAGTTTTTATAACGTCCTTGTTTGCTAATTCTGACATCTGTGTTAGTTCTGAGTCAGTTTCTATTGATTGATTTTTCTCCGTTTTGACAAGGCACATGCTTCCACTGTTATGTTCTGGTCTCCCATTGACAAGATGTATTGCTGAGTTTATATTTCTTTGCTAAATTTTCATGTTCCATTTACTGCTTGTTTTAAAGGCTTAATTGATCATATCATGTAGTTTTAACTGAAATAACCTTCATAACATGGGCAAGTGTGCTGATAAAAAGATTAATGCAAATGAACTGAATTTAAAGATCATTTTTAAAATGCAAAATACAAAAAAACAACAAGAAAAGAGCTGAGATGACAGTCTTCTACTTCTGGTATGAGCTCCTTGTCACCCACATGAAGAGGTTGAAAAGATGGTTTAATCAAATCTGGTAAGAAGTTGGCAAAATCAAATTTATAAAAAAACAAAAACAAAATAAACCTCCCACTCCTGCCACCAAGAAAGACAAATTATCAGCCACTTAGAAAAGAGAAGAGCTAGGTGTGGTGAAGAACCATTTTTGGCATGTGAGAGCTAAAGAGCTCAATTGCTACATATGAGATTCATCAGAAGAACCAAGGGAAAATGAACGGGGACTTTAGGTGTCTGGATCCTGTTAAGGTGCCCTTGGAGGCCACCCATGTCTGATGGCTTTGATGATAGGACTCCAGTGGGTAGTGTCTTCTGTGGTGTTAACAGTAAGTTCCAGATATAATGTGTCAAAAGAATAACTTGGGGACATTGTTAGTTATTCACATGCAAATTATTTGTATGACAGAGAAGGTTATTAGTCTGTTGTCAACAAACATGTAAAAACAAGAAATAATAAAAGAGAAAGAAACGGGGAGAGGGGAAGAAAACCCAGACATTTAGGGAACAGTGAGTTTCTTTTGGGGGGTAAACTAATTAGCTGATAGCTAGGAAAGAGACCTGTCTTCCACTGAACATATGTTCGGGGTTATTAAAAAAAAATTAGTGCCTTATATACCCTCTGACAAACTTTGAGATTTAACTATAAAGTTCTCATGACAGATTATCTCTATGTAATGTCTACCAATGGCCTTAATTTAGTTCCTGCACCAATTCAGAACCATTTCCCACCTCTGAATTATCTCAAGTTTTATTTTTTTTTTAAAGCAACAGGAAGAGTATTATGCCACTTTAAAAGCGGAACCATCCATATAGACAATTGTTTATAAAGTGGCATAATACTTATTTATCTAGACCTGGTGAATATAAGATTGTTTAGTGTATGTGGTTTTTTGTTTGTTTGTTTGTTTGTTTGGCTGCAAAGAAACTTTATACTTAGGTTTTCCTTGGACAATGTAATCAGGACTGTCCTTTCACTAATGGTTGCCCATCTGTCATTCTAGGCATGGTTTTATCAACTCCTTTATCACCCTAGCCCAAAATAACCAAACCAAATAGATATCTATCTATCTGTCTATCTGTGGCATACAGAAAACTCTGGCATAATGAACATTTTGAATGTGTATTTTTATTACCTAATTTGTTATGTAATGGATCAGCAGAAGTCATCCAAGAATTACTGATATATTTCCGTATAGGTGACAGGTACTCTGGTAAGCATTTAGTCCATGAGGGTGCTGCTCTTCATCTTAGTTGGGGCTGATCTGAATTAATTGCGACAAGCTAATAAGATCTTTTGACGTATAGGTGACAGGTACTCTGGTAAGCATTTAGTCCATGAGGGTGCTCTTCATCTTAGTTGGGGCTGATCTGAATTAATTGCGACAAGCTAATAAGATCTTTTGAAAGTTTCTTTCCAAGCTTCTTGAGCTAATGTTTTCCCTCTGGCCAGTGGGGTAGAGAGCACATTATTTTTGATACTCTTAAAAATATTTAGGCAGTTACTGTTCATTTAAGCCAGACGGCATGTGTCAACTCCTTTTCCTGGAAAGGGTGAGTTTTTTAATGTTTTTGCTGCTGTAATAAAGCCTTGTGTGACTTCTTTTGAAAATTTTTCTCTTTACATATATTAGTACTTATAGAAGCTTTTTATTAGACCTTTGGGGACCCCTCTTTCACTTATGAAGATTCTTAGAGGGTTGGTTGTAAATGTTTTTGTGTGTAAATTCTTTTTTTGAAATTGTGCAGTAGCAAGTGATGACTGATTAAGTTATATAAAACTGATAAGTTTTACAATGAAACTTTACAATGAAAACAAACAAAATAAAGAATTCATAACACAAGGAGTGAGTGGCCCTTTTATGTTTTACCAGTTCTCCAAGCTGCTTACAGTCAGAATCTGAGTTAGTGGTTGACTGGTGATGGTCAACACTCTTAACAATAGTGTGGATGCATAGGGAGTCCCTGAAAACCGCCATGGTCCACAGTCAGCCGTGGGTAATCATTTTATGTTAGCATCATAACTCTAGCTTTTGACCTTTTAATGTGCATATTCTATCATGACTTTAGAGTGAATTTTATTTTTCCTTTTGGGAAGAAGTACAGGTAGGTAAGTGATTGAATTCTAAAGGCATTTGATTTTCATTTATTCTGATTAAATCCTAAGCTGCTGAATTGTAGTGACAATTTTTCTTCTATCTTCACATCCAGAATTCTAGGAATTTGTGGTGTGAATCTGGGCATTTGATAAAGTGGCTTTTCCTTTCTGTTTTTCTTGGTAATAGATTTTAAAAGTATATTTTACTGGGAGACTTATCAAAATTTTTATTTCTTCAAGGTGTTGACTTTAAAGTGAAAACAATTTCAGTGGATGGAAATAAGGCTAAACTTGCAATATGGGTAAGAGTTCTTTAAATGTATTTTTTATAAATATTAAACTTGTACTTTTTAGGGAAGCAGAAATGGGATTTGTATAGTGTTCTAGAGGTTAACAAACAATATTAAATAGCTTTTGGGAGAGTTGATGTTGATTAAAGGATAAAGCAATAGTTATATCTTATAATTGGGTGATTAGGCAGGTACTTATTGTACTTAAGTTTTTAAAATGTACTGTCCCTTCAGAATATTTCAAAACAGAGTATTAAAAATATCATCTTGTCTGCCAGAGAGAATCTTGTTGTTAGATGTGTTTCTTTAAAGTTTTAGAAATACTATCTAGACTAAACTGACATTAAAGTTAGTTGTTGAGGGGAAGGGAGATAAAGTAATATTTGGGAAAAAATTTTATTTTTCTGTTTGTTAGTATAGGTATTTATAAAATTTGAGTTTGCCAACTTTGGATTTATTTTTTGATAACTCTTCTTTCCTTAACTGCCTTCTTTTCTTTTCACTGTGAATCCAGCCACTCTGATCCATATTCCTCTGCTAACTAAACCTCTTCATGCTAGTGCTGAATAAGGTAGCATTAACTGTCAAAAACATGCAAGATGCTTAGTGTCTATGTCTGTCTGTCTTTCCCTTTCTCCTTCCTTCCTTTGTTTCATCTATCTTTCTGTCTAAATATTATTGCTAATATATAAATATATTATTTACTTTAAGTATAAAAGTATGCTATTTTATCTATCTAATTTCCACATGCTAAACATATACATGTAATATATTTTTATAACAAGTAATGAATAATATTAGAACTGATCAGCAGTTATCAAATTGAGACATACTTCCACATGGTGGCTAAGTGGTAAATGCCTGTACATCAATCACAGATTGAAAGAGTAAGTGTTCATGCACTGTACGATGTCCTTCTACTTCCTGGTGTTCTGAATGGCATGCACATTTTACTCCAAAATAATGAGTAACTGTGTAAGTGTGTTTAATATTTTTATGTTCATTTTTTTCTAACATACAATACTTTATGATTGTTAGCCTATTTGCCCCTCTTCTTCCCCAAATATATTTAATACCAATCAGAACAGCAATGTCTAACAGAAAACAATTTGGAAAATGTTGGATTAGACTGTGGTAAAATATATTGAACAATTTGAGAATGCTGGCTTCTTTCTCTACTAAAGTAGTGGCCTGATGTTCCATATGCTTTTTATGGTTGCTTTGTCACCTCTTTCTGCCCTTGCTGCTGCTTATTTATACACAGTAATGAGTAGGAGCTGAGGCTTGACAGTTACAGTGAGATTTTTCTCTCATACAAGAGGGTTTTTTGTTTTTGTTTTAAATCTAGTTCCCGCCTAATAAAAAGACTGGCAGGTATTATTGAAGAGACATTTTACCATAGCCCTATAAATATTTTTAAAGAATAGAGGTTTTTCCCTTGACTATAAGAATAATACAGGCAAATTCTAAAAACAATAACGGAGACAATAAGAAATTAAGGGAGAAGAAAGTTCATCTTTAACCAGTGTATACAGTTTAGTGAGTTTTACCATAGCCCTATAAATATTTTTAAAGAATAGAGGTTTTTCCCTTGACTATAAGAATAATACAGGCAAATTCTAAAAACAATAATTGAGACAATAAGAAATTAAGGGAGAAGAAAGTTCATCTTTAACCAGTGTATACAGTTTAGTGACCATCCTTTAAAATATCTAAGCACATGCATATGTACTGTTACCCATGTGAGTATATGCAGTTTTCCAAAAGTAAGGGATTATATCTTATGTTTTTTAATCTGTTTGTCTTCCTCCTTTCCCCCACCCACTCACATAATAAGGTGTACATTTTTCTGTGTCAGTTTAAATGGCCATCTGATATTCCATTTCATGGCCACACTTTAATTTAGTCAACCTGCAGTGAAGGATATTTAAGCTGTTACCAGTTTTTCACAAAGATAAGCAATGCCCTGATGAGCAACCTGATTTATATATCCATGCATACTTGTCTAGTTACTTTAGGATGTATACCAAGAAGTAGAAATGTTGGCTTAAAGAATATGAAGATTTAACATTGATATACATTAAAAAGCCTTATTTTTCATTTTATTCTCCCACCAATTATATTTTCATATTCACTGTTCCACACCTTAATCTGTACTTTAGTACAGATTGCTTACTATTGCCAGTCTTTCTCATTTTTTGTCTCTCAGTAATAATTTTTCACTTGTATTTGCATTTCTTTTGATCAGTGAGGTTTTTTTCTCATATTGATCATATTTTAAATGAATTTTTTTTTATATACTTTGCCCAATTTACAATAGCATTCTTTTTTTCATGGTTAAAGTCTTTATATATTACAAATATTAGCTCTTTGTCATATGCTGTATTTCTTCCACTCTGTCATTTGTCTTTAAAATCTTGTTTAAGATGAGTGTTTGTGTTATTATGTGTGTGTTTAATAACTGTCATATGCTGCAGATTTTTTTCCCCCAATTTGTTATTTACCTTCATATCTTGTTAGGATGAGTGGGGGTGGGAGTAGGGATATTCTTGCCATACCCAGGTTTTAGTATTTATATGGTCAGATGAGTTATTTTCTTAATGGCATCTGGGTGTCATGTTGTATTTAGGAAGGCCTTTCCACTCATTATTAAAAATATCTGAATCCATAATTTTCACTAATTCTTATGTGGTTTTATTTATATAAAGCTTGGAAGCTTCTTCTGAAATTAAATAGGAGAATTAAGCATAGTCCTGCCCCCCACTGCTTTTTGAAAGTGCACGCTCATCATGACCTAAATGCCATCTGTAAGGTTGTTTTCTTCTGTTTCCTTTTTCTACATTCTTGCCTCACTTACACTTCCTACATTCCATTTTTTGGTCTTTCTAGATCTTTTCTAGCCCAATTCTAGCCTTATCCATATCTATCTTCAATAGTCTCTTCTCTCCCTCCCCCGTCAGAAAATAAAACCACAGGATAGAGACAAAAAGCTCTGCTTTTTTTAATCTTATGAAGATGTCATTACACTTACAACATATTCCTGGTTTGGAAACAAACACAAACAAAAATCTAACTTCTGACTACTTAAGCGTATGAATTTTATAGTTATTATAAATCCTGATCCAAAGATATGGCACAGTTATTCCCCCCAAATTATCACACCCGCTTAAACATTTTTATAAGTGAATCCAAAAATGTCAAGACTTTAAATATCTAGCCTAATTAAATATTTACATGTAAAGTGTTAAAGTCACATGTAATATTTTAACATTAAAACATTACTTGCTATAATCTTTACTTTTAAAACATTAGGCTTTATGGACATTTTAACTGGAATTGCAGTTCTTATTTTTATGTTGTGTTTCATCAAGGCAGTTTTTGAAGTTGATCTCAATGGAGAGCAGAGAGAACAAAGTTCATATTCACTTGCTTTCTGCTAGCTCTGGAAATTAATTTATTAAAGATTGATGCAGTTTCATTATGCAAATAGTATGACTTTTTTCCTGTCATAACAAAGTCTTGGGACTCAAATATTTCATATTTTGTTCTTGCTGCAATATATTTGTTATAATAATGGAACATTGTTTCATTTATGGAAAAACAGCTAATTCAAATTTTAAAATTTTCTGTTCTAAAACTGAGTCTTGTCTTTTAAATAATGGCTTTTCCTTCTTTTCCCCTTTCTCTCAAAAAATAAGTTTGTAGTACTCAAAGTTGAAGTTAAATGCTTAACATGATGTAATTCCAAAAGTTGTAATGTATCTGGATACTGAGTAATTTGAATGCTGCTTATTTATCATTTTTTGCGTGTAAGTGAATAGCTAGCATATGTTTCTCATAATGTTTTTTTTTTAAATATAAATTTTTATTTAGTTTTTATGAATTGGATTTTCTGAACTAGGTACTGGTTCAAGGCTATGAGCATTTCTCGTTTCTTGATATATATATTGCCAGTTGCTTTCTAAAAGTGGTAGTTTAGTTAAACATAGAAGTTATAACATCATGGCTTCCAGTTGATTACTTTTTTCTGCAAACTTGAGTTTTGATCACTTGATCATAGTGATCAAAAAAAGTTTACTGGGCATCCATGTGGTATTTTATTAATGATTATTAAATTACAGTATTGACCTATATCATGTTATCAAAATTGTAATCTGCTTTAGATCGTAAGTCCACTTTCCTTTATGCAGCTTTTAATTTATATAATTGTTCTTGAAAAGTTGAGTAAATATGCAAATTGAATAATTTTAAATATCAGGGGCAGGTTTTATAAGAAATTTTGAAGCACAGAGAATTTTTGTAAAGAGAAATCATTTTTTATCCCGTACATTTATCTGTTTAGAAAATTTAATTTCTCATTTGTTACTTCTTTACTTAAGCGTAATGTGGGTGGAGGTTACGTGGGTGGAACCACTACAGAGTGGTGAGAATCTAGAAGCAAGGACATTCTGCATTTATATAAGTGTATGGGTGGAAGAGTGGTGAGTGTTCAAAGTGGTTTACATTGGAAGTTATTTTCCTCTTAAGTTTCTCTTCTGGGGCTAGAAATTACCTCAGATATTCTCTATTGTCTTAAAGCATATTTAACTTTGGCCAGGTAAAGAAACTAAGTATTGCTGGAGCCCCTCATTGCTAGTTTAAAATTCCTCTCCAATCATGTAAACCTCTTAGAGGTCATTAACTCTTTTTTTATCTCAAGGAGCTTCTGCTTGTCTTGTAGCAAAACTCACATGTACAACACTGGGACTGGTACCTAAGTTGATGTTTGATATATGGCTTTACTTTTCTTCATGTTAGTTTACATCAGCAGGCTGCAAACTTTTTCTTGAAGGGCCATGTAGAAAATATTTAGTCCAACCCTAAAGCAGGCCATATGGCAATACATAAATGAGTGGGCCTAGTTGTGTTTCAGTAAAACCTTATTTGATAAAACCTTATGTAATGGAACAGGTGGTGGGTGGAGCCAGCAGTTTGACAACTGCTGCTTTGTATAGTATTAGTCACCTTGAAGTCCAAGGATAGTAGAAAGAAGTCAGAGAGAAGGAACCAGTCCTGGAAGTAGAGGCTTGTTAAATGAGTTCATTCTTTTTCCCCAGCCCGCAACAAGTTCTGAACAATTACACTATGGTAAGAATTGCTCTGAGTAATGGGGTTAAACTGGTGATTAAGCACATGAAAGCCTGCCTTCATGAAATTTACATTTCCTACCTAGTGTACCACTTTTGTTGTTCATTAACCCTAACATGAGTCAGAAACAACATGTAATAAGGAGTGGTTTGGTTTTTTATGAGTTGTTCTAAAAGAAGATACATAGAAAACACTTAAAAGAGCCCAACTTAAAAATTCTTGCCTAAAATAAGACACCCTTGTAATTCTAAGTCAGTGGTTCTCTGCCTTGATTCTACATTAGAATCACCTGGGAAGGGCCGGCCCGGTGGCGCACTGCTACAGTGCGCCGCTTGGGAGCACGGTGGCGCTCCTGCCGAGGGTTCGGATCCCACATACAGACCGGTTCCCGCTCACTGGCTGAGCGAGGTGCGGGCGCAGCACCGAGGGTTGCGATCCCATTGCTGGTCCCGGTCTCGTACGGGCGCGACACTGAGGGGTGCGATCCGTTGCCGGTCACAAAAAAAGACAAAAAGGAAAAAAAAAAAAAAAGAATCACCTGGGAAGGGCCGGCCCGGTGGCGCACTGCTACAGTGCGCCGCTTGGGAGCACGGTGGCGCTCCTGCCGAGGGTTCGGATCCCACATACAGACCGGTTCCCGCTCACTGGCTGAGCGAGGTGCGGGCGCAGCACCGAGGGTTGCGATCCCATTGCTGGTCCCGGTCTCGTACGGGCGCGACACTGAGGGTTGCGATCCGTTGCCGGTCACAAAAAAAGACAAAAAGGAAAAAAAAAAAAAAAGAATCACCTGGGAAGATTTTTAAAATTCCTGTCATTACCCTAGACCAATTAAATCAGAATCTCTGGGGGTTGGACCCAAAGATTCCTAGAAAATTTCATTGTGCAGCTGAGTTGAGAATCAGGGCTTTCAATGAAATGGTTTTTATGTGTGATAAAAATCTTAAGTTCAAAATGTCAGAAAAGCTTTACTGTACTTAGTTGCATTTTTCTAGAAAGGGATCAGAATTTAATTTTATTTTATGTAACAGTTGTCAGTAAAAGAACATATCTTACTTAAATTTCAGGTTTTTAACGAGCTCGTGCATTGATATTATTTTTATTAGTGCTGTTTGACTTCCTGCTCTTAAATTAGAGAATTGAAGGTATATTATTTATACTTTGTTTTATTTAATAATAATTGATTGTCACTTTTAGGATACTGCTGGTCAAGAGAGGTTTAGAACATTAACTCCCAGCTATTATAGAGGTGCACAGGGTGTTATATTAGGTAAGTTTTTACTTTAACATACTGTTTGAAAATATTATTGTTTGTTGGAATTTCTGATTTTCCTTGTCTGTAAAGGTCAATGAGTTTTTGCTTTATTTTTCCTTAGGGCTACTTTTATGTAACATGAAATTATGTAAACTTTATTTAATACTAGTATTAATACTAATATTAAAACTTGTTTTATTTCTTTTCAGCCCTTTGTCTAGAATTAAAAAATAAAGACAAAACTAATTTATTTAGTTTAAAAGCACATGTTGATGAGAACATAACTGAGGATTAATCCACATATATTGGTCTATCTTGGAGTGTTATCAGAAACTGGTCTTCACTCATCAGCATATTAGTATTTGCTGCACTTTATAAAGGAAGAAGAGTATTTGTTGCTTTGTAGAATCTGTTTTATCAGTCCTGAAAAACAGCACAAAGCACTTAACACTATTGATTCATAATCAAACAAAATTTAAAAACCAAATGTGGATTCTCAGTGTAATTTGTTGAAAAAGTGCTTATTCATACTATTCCCAAGAAACTGTTTAACATGAATATTGATCAATTGAATATTGATCAATTGTAGGGAGATTTATATGTTTGATATCTTGACTTGAGAGTGACTTATCATTTTGGTTCAGCAATTCCTAAGTTTAGAAAACACTTTAAATTAATAAGCTCTTTATTATAATGTAGGATGATATACAATGAAAGTGGTAACAGAGGAAGACAGGATCTCATTCACTAAGTCTACTAAATTATTTCCAAGTTGCAAATTCTGGTCTTTGTAAGAACCAGTTAACAGGGTCATAGATGTTTAAATTCATATAATTTGTTTTTATATTTGCCACAGATGTGAGTCTAAACATTGTTTGGTTTTTGGACAGACCTCTTTATCATAATGAATGGAAACAGCTGTTTTGCTTTAATTTGTTTTTTATTGGTTTTTAATTAGTTGTCACACAGGATATAATTTCATTTCTTTTACAGTATGTGCTAATAAGATTGAAGTGTGTGTATATGTTTAAAAAAAAACAACAAAACGCTTGTTTCTTCCATCTGGATCAGTAGACACCTATTGTTAAGCATTGAAGGCTTAACAAAAAACAGACTTGCCTTTGTAGTAATGTTAGCTCCTACCTACATATCAGAAATATAATATCATTGCTTCTTACTTTTAATGCTTATTTAATAAATAACTTTCCTTTTATTTCAGTTTATGATGTCACAAGAAGAGACACCTTTGTTAAACTGGATAATTGGTTAAATGAATTGGAAACATACTGTACAAGAAATGACATAGTAAACATGCTAGTTGGAAATAAAATTGATAAGGTAAGAAAGCAGACACTAGCATTTTGGTTTTATATTTTGTTAGCTTTTCTTAATCATTGCTTTTATCTTGTAGGAAAATCGTGAAGTTGATAGAAATGAAGGCCTGAAATTTGCACGAAAGCATTCCATGTTATTTATAGGTAGGTTTGTGATTATTCTTTTGTTATTGATGAGGAATTTAAAAATGGAGTTTTTGCTAAATTTATTTCTTTATGAACCATAAAATATATTTATACAGTTTATAGTTGCCTCGTGCTACAAAATCTAATTATAAAAAGAGGTTTTTTATTTTTCTTTCTGTAAAAGTAAAGTAGGATCACATGTGAAATCATGTAGAACAAAGTCACATCATTCCTTTGAAGATGTAATGTCATTCAATAAAGCTTGGAACTCAGTGCTACCGTTGTGCCTTGCTCATCCATGTTCCGGCAGCATCAGCACCACCTGGGAGCTTGTTCAAAATGCTTCATCTCGGGCCCTAGCCCAGATTTTCTGAATTAGAATATGCATTTTAACAAAATCTTTATACGGTTTGTGTGCTCATTAATATTTGAGAAACATTGTAGAGCAGGAGTTGGCAATCTACACTGTGAACCAAATCTGGCCCCACCGTTTGTGTTGGAACACTGCCATGCCTGTTCGTTTACATACTATCTATGTCTGCTTTTGTGCTACATGGCAGAGTTCAGTAGTTATAACAGAGGCTATATGGCCCACAAAGCCTAAAATATTTACCATCTGGCCCTTCACAGAAAAAGGTTGCCAGTGCCTCATCTAAAAAAATGGGCTAGTTATATCAGAATCACCCTTTCAGTGTCCTGCAAGTGAAGTGAACAGAGTATTTAAAGGAGGTGGAAGTGACTACCAGTGTGAAATGCTGAAAGTTGTCAGGTAAGATTAGGACATTGGATTTGACAAGATAAAGGGTGTTGATGGCCTTGAAAAGAATGATTTCAATGGAGTGGTGGGAACAGAAGCCTAATTTATAGTAGTTTGAAGAAAGAGCGTGAGATAAAGTAGAAATAGCTTGTGTAGATAACTCTTTAGAACAATTTTCAGAGAGAGTTTAGAAACTGGCTGGCTGCAAGAAGGATATATGGGCTAGAGGGCCTGTTTGTATTTTAATAAGATGGAAAATAATTTGGCAGACTTTTAGGCTGATTGGTGTGATCCAATAGAGAGTACATGATCCTTCAGTGAATGAGAAGGAATGTCATTCCAGGAACTAGAAAAGGGTGTGGCTGTAGGTAGCAGCAGGGACAGTTCATCCATTGTAACAGGAGTGAAGGCAGAGTGTATCAGGATACGTATGCTGGTAGGTTGGCACATTTACTACAAAGTGGGATGATCAGGTAGTTTTTGCCAGATTGTTTCTGTTTTTCTCAAAGCTAGATCATCAGCTGAAATAGAGGAGCTTTGAGAGGAAGACGTAAAATAGTGAGACAGTGAAAAAGAAAATCACTAGGGAAATGTAAGGTTGGGAAGCAGTGCTGAGTGTGCACTTGAGCATAAATTTAAAATAGGACCAGTGTTTGTGGTTGTATGCCATTTTATTCAGACACCTGCAGCTGCTTGGTTGCAGGCACAAAATAATCAGGTTAACTGTTTAACTTGGAACATGGATTTCCTTATTTTAAAAAATAGAAATAATGTCTGCTTTGGGGGCTAGTTTAAGAATTAACTGAAAACAAGTTACAATTACATCAAAAATCTTGGGGCCCATATGTAATATTCTTATGGATAGAATTTGAATAGCACAATTTTGAGAGTTGGGGGGAAATTCACTAATATTAAACCTGTGGAGAAAAATTGCTGATTTGGGTTTTACTGTATAGTAGGCTGATATGTATGCCATAATAGTTGCCAGAAGAACATGGGAATATAGCCAGAAAGGAATATACTATGACACTTTTCCTTGAATTTTAGAGGCAAGTGCAAAAACCTGTGATGGTGTACAATGTGCCTTTGAGGAACTTGTTGAAAAGATCATTCAGACGCCTGGACTGTGGGAAAGTGAGAACCAGAATAAAGGAGTCAAACTGTCACACAGGGAAGAAGGTCATGGAGGAGGAGCCTGTGGTGGTTATTGTTCTGTCTTATAAACTCTGGGAAATTCTATCTCTTGCATATTCGATCAGATAATGACATCTTTCTGTATATAAACTCTTTAACTGCTATTTTAGGGACCTTGCAGTTTGCACATAATTGTTTTGTATCATGGCAGTAAATATTTGCAAGAAATCCCAGTCATCAGCTTTCCCAGGTAAAATGTTATGGTAAGCATGCACAGTTTGCAGTCTATAGTTTTTTATGTAACATAAAATAAGTGTACCTTTATAAGTACATCTGATTTTATGATTTACATTTATCATGTAATTAAAAAAAATCTCATCTATTTAGCATATGTTGATATAAGGTCTACTTTTGGTCTCTTTTTGCTTAAATACTCCTATCAATTATTGAATTACCTGATGTGTAGAACTCCTAGAACCACAGGAGGTATACAGGTATCATCAAACCTGGCAAATTTCCTTTCAGGAATAGCAAAAAGCATGATTCCATAGCTTTCTAGGGTGTTTGAGTCTCTTTTAGTACTAAGCAAAATCTTCATTACAGAATGTAGCCCAGACCAATTTATAATTAAATCTCTGTTTGTTCTGATGATGCTTCTAAAATAGCATTGGTATGTTAAAGAAGGTTGGTATTACTTTTTAGTTTACTTCAATGTTTATCTCAGTTGCTTAACTGGAGTTTTAATCCTGTGATATGTACATTGGATTAATGACCCTTTGTGCAGCATTTTTAGTTAAGTGGTGTTTGGCTAAATGGTAATAAGGTTTTACCCCATTTTAGTTTCACAAGGATATAAACAGTGTTTATTGTAACTCCTGTAGTGCTTTCCACTTTTAAAACCAACAACTTTTTTCATAAATGTTGATAGTGTTTGTCCAGGTACTTCAATTGTAGCTTGTGTACTTGTGTAATGTTTATGAATATCTGTATCTTATGGCTTCCATAAATGGCTAGTTGATATTCAAAAATCTATTTCTGTGTTTTGAGGGATGGGGGAAAAACACTAAATGACAATTTGAGAAAGGCATATTGCTTCCAGATTCTGATGTGTGTGGGAAGATATGTACTGTTGCAATTAAAATCTTGATAATTTTCTGTTAACAAGTAACTAATAGTTTATCAAAACCAACTTGTACAGACTAATAAATCTTTTCCACAGTATTCAGTTTTCTAACCTCTTGCTATTGTACATTATATATTTTTTCATTCATATGTTATTTAATTGACATTGACCTCTGCTATGTTAAGCCCCCAAATAAGTAATTTGTTCTTTAAGCCTGATCACTGTAATACTACTTTGTAAGATTCTAATATTAATTTCTGGGCAATTTATTCTCTAAATACAGTTGCAAAAGAATAACATTTTTGTGGGTTATCTTTACAATATGTGTGTTAATGGATTTATTCAAGTTGGGTTCTTTCTGAAATGTACATTGTCACATATGAAAACGTCACATTTTACTTGGTTTACACTTTTTAGTCTACATGTGATTAAAGGTTTCATACATTCTGTATGTTTTTACTAAATATAAAACATTTGCTACTCTTATATTGGAGAAAGGTAGCCAACACGTACTTATGATTTGTTCATGTTACATTAAAACTTTAGGTTTGTGTATTTATGTAGAGTCTGTATTGACAAGACTTTTATGTTTATTGCTTTTTGCTCCTTGATCTATATAATAATCTTTCTGTGCATTGGATTGTTGTCTTGATTTGGTCAGAATTTGGATATATATGAATCACTTGAATATAACCTTTAAAAATTAATTTTGCTTCATAGATTTATATTGTAACCCTTTATAGTTTTTGAATAAATATAGCCTGCTTTCTTTAGATGAATTTGTGCAGGAAGTATTGTACATTCCCCATTACTCTTATCAGCTGAGGAACATTTGAATATAGTGTTATTCAACCTCTATTATATTATGTGACTTTCACATTATTATTTTGTTGCAAGCTTAGTCTTTTGTAGTAGAGGTTTTTAAAGTGAGATAGTTGTAATATCTAAAAATCAGGCACCTACATAACTGAGGATTTTGTTAATTCTTTTTTTCAGAATCATTTGAAGAAATCTTAGAGGGTCTTTTGCAGATGGTACAAATTAGAATATAGTATTTTGAATTCTAGGAGTACTGACATAGACCTAAACAAATGAGTAAACATTCAATTTATGAGTAATAATTAGCATTTATTGAAAGCTTTTTTGGTGCCATGTGCTGTTCTAAGTGCTGAATTATCTCATTAAATCCCACAACAACCTTAAGAGATTGGTATTCCTATTATGCCCATTTAAAAGATGAGGATAATCAAATATAGGTATGTTAGGTAACTTCCCAAAAGTTCACATAGCTAATCAGTGATCCAGCTAGATTCTAGTCAAGGCATTTTCCCTTCTGATTCCCCTCTCTTAACCACTGCTCCCTTTACTGTGACTAGTTACTAGCTTTTTGTTTTAACATAGGTGAGTTAAGGGAGTTCCCCTATTTCTTTATCACTCTCTTTTGTCATATGTAATAGAAATATTTCAGGTTTAATGGTTATAAAGTAAATCCCAGTGATGTAAACCCTAAAAGTTAAGGTAGTGGAGTAGGTGACCTCTTAGTTCTTTTACCTTCTCAGAATGTAATAAAAATCCCTGACTTGGAAAAGGTACAAAGTTATGGGGACTTATGGCACCTTAAATTCCTATCTGTAATTGGAGAAAAGAAATTGTCTTGAAAGAGTCTGCTGCTTGAAAATGAAATCTGAGTGGGTGTTTCCATTTTAAGTACTTGATCACCATCTACAGACTCACACTTGGTGTTGACATTCTTGTTGAGTGCAGTGGAGGTTAGACTTGATTTTGATTCAGTGTTGTTCGCATATTTGAGAAATATCCGTGATTCTCTACTAAGCGTGGGACTGGCCTTGGCTCATAAGAGAATCCTTACACCAGTACTTATTCTCCCAGTGGGATAGCACAGACTCACGTCATATCCATAATATCTTTCAGTACAGTTTAGTATGTCTTTTTTCTAACTATTTTTTCAAGTGAACTGGGACAACAGTCCTTCAGCTGTTACAGATTAGAGGTTGTCTCATTATTCAAGTATTATGCTTCTATTCCTTGGAGTCCATTTCACCAGTAATACTTATGAAGTTTTTTGTCCTTCATGTATTTTCTGTAGTTAGGGGTAAAAATATTTAGTCAGTTTTCAGAAGACGTTTTATTGGTTCTTATTCCAACCTTGCCATGGATAGTCAACTGTAGACTTCATCCTGGATTTTTGTCTAAAATGATGAAAGAAGAGAAAATGAGAGTTGAAAGAAGAGAATATGAGGGTACTTCAAAAAGTTCATGGAAAGATTATTATTATCTTTTAGTTCTATTTTTCCATGAACTTTTTGAAGTACCCTCGTAGATAGATGTATATAAGCTAAGTCAAGACCTGGGGCTAGGGCTGGCTAGTTAGCTCAGTTGGTTCGAGTGTGGTGCTGATAACACCAAGGTCCACGGTTTGATCCCTGTACCAGCCAGCTGCCAAAAAAAAAAGACTTGGGGCTAATATAGAATTACCCAGGTATCTTTAAAAATTTTTTTTAAACAGGAACATCTGTCAGATTGGAGGAGAAACAATATAATCAACTTCTATTATGGGGCTTTAAATTTTACTGTTTTGTTGCTAATTTGTTGTTTTGTATGTAGGAATCAGTAATGTTTTTGATTGTGGTATTAAGTGCCTTGTAGTTGAAGCTGTTCTGTACACACACACACACAAATGCGTACACACACACGCGTGCATATTTTGAACGACAGTGTGAGTGCCTGTTCTCAGTCTTGCCCTCTTATCTCTCATGCACATACCCACTTACTGGTTCTTTTTCTTTTTTTTTAAGCTGATGAACAATAAATTATGTAGTTTTATTTGCATTTCTTTATTAGTGTGATTGAACACTTTTATATTTTAGTGGATATTTGTGTTTCTCACTTTAAGTTCTTGTTAATGTATGTCGTGGTTACCCATCCAGTTTCTACTCCGTTCTCTCCATTGTTGTTACCCATCCAGTTTCTACTCCGTTCTCTCCATTG